CCAAAGTTCTCAACACAGCCTAAGAGACTTTGTCTCACTCCCACTGGCCTTTCAGCCTTGTCTCTTCTGTGACCTTCCTCATGCTCCCTGGTCACGTCAGCCTTCTTTCAGCCCCTATGCTCACCACATTTCCTGAGTTCCTATAACCTTTGTACATCCAGTTCCACCTACCAAGAAAGCTCTTTCTTCTGCATCTTCTTCTTAAACACTGTCACAGTTATAATTTTACATTTTTGTTGTTATTGTAGTTATTCTGTGTCTCCACTATTAAAATGGAAGCTCCGTGAGGTCAGAGTCTGTCTTTGTTCATCACCATATCTCCTGCCCCTCCACACTGTGCTCGTACAATGACCGGTACAACGAATATTCAACTATTACATTTGACTGTATTCTGTATGTCTCAGTCTTAACACATCCCAAACTAAAATGCTTCTTATCCCCCAAAATACCACTCCACTGACAGAGTTGCCATGTTGCAGAATTCAAGGAATGATGGCCACAGAGTGTCCAAGGGAATGATGGCCTGCCTTATTACCAGCTGTGCTCCTGACATTGGACTCTCCATATGGATAGTGTGCTCTGAAGTTGAGTGTTATTCTTCTTGACTTCAGGTGACGGTAACTCTATTCTTCCATCAGGCCATAAATTTTACAAGTGTCTTTGATTCCTCTTTCACTCTCACACGTCACAGTAACTTTACCAGGAGATTCTATTGGCTCTACCTTCAAATTATATCAGCTCCTTTCACATTCCCGACCACTCCCACCCCAGCCTGAACCACTATCATTACTGCAATAGACCTCTTTGTCTCCTTGCTGCTTCTCTTGTCCATGACTGTCTACTCACAACTGAGGAGCTAAGAACACTTTAAAACATAAACTGGAAACTCCCCTGGTGGTCCAGTGGCTAAGATTCTGTGTTACCAGCGCAGGGGTCCAGGTTCAATCCCTGACCAGGGAACTAGATCCTGCATACTGCAAGTAGCCAATATCCCATGTGCCATAATTAAGACCTGGTGCAATCAAGTAAATATAACTTTTTAAAATTAAATAAGTTAAAAAATAAAACATAAACCAGGCCATGTCATTTCTCTGTTCAAAGCCCCATAATAGCTCCCTATCTCTCAGAATAAAAGCCAAAGTCTACAATGAACTTTAAGGTCCCACAGGCTTCCCAGATAGTTATGTAACTACACCTCTTACTTCCCTCAAGTCCGTCCAAATGTTACCTTCTTAAAATGAGGCTTACTTTGGCCATTCTATTTAACTTGCCACTCTCCAAACCCATTTACAGTGCCATTATTTTCTATTTTCACTCCTGTCACCATATAATGTATTTATTTATGATCATCATCGTTTTTGGTCTGTCCTCCTTCTGTTAGAATATAAGTTCCACAAGAACAAACCTGTTCTTATTAATTGAAACCTTGTGCATCTAAAGCAATGTCAGGGATACTGGAGGTTCAATCCTGAATGAATAACTGTGGTGTCTGCTGAGTAATAGAGATTAGTAAATATTAGTATAGGAATAACTGTGACATACAAAGTGATAGCTTTTCTCTCCGTGACTCATATTTCTTTGTTAATATACATATACGTGGAACTGTGCAGCAGGGTAAAAACTGCACAAGATTTGCAGTCAAGGTTTGAGTGATTCCTGGCCTCTCACCACTTCCTGCCTGTATACAAGATTCTCTTAGTGGAATAAAACACTCGCCCTGTGACCTCACGGGGCTTGTTGGGAAGATAAAATAAATGTGAATAGTTTTGCAAGCTATCCAAACAGTTTAGGAAAGCAATATTCAAAACTTTCAGTAACATCAATTGCCATCACACTGTTTACCTCCAAAGAGAGCTCTGTGCGCTCTGTACTGCCAGGCCGATTTTAACCTTTACTTTCTCCCAGTGCTGACACTGAGAAACCTCTGGCTCCCTTACCCTGTTCGGGTTAGTTATCCTCTCTCCTCCTCTCCATTTGAGGAAGGTGGACAGCAGGTGTTGAGTTCTCTGCTCCATGATCTCTGCTGACTCAGGCTGCTTCTTCCTGTCCCTGGGCAGGATGAGAGAGGAGCGGTACAACACATGGGTGGCTCCTGGCATAGCTTTAGCTGAGATGGACAGGATGGTGTCTTTTCTGAAAGGACAAAGATTAAGGCTCTTCTTCAACAGTGTGGAACCCGGTGCAAACAGTTCTGGAGACCTGGTTTCCCATTGCCCTGCGGCCCTCCAACTGAGAGATCTGAGGCAAGTCCCTTCCATATTAACCGGAAAAGGAGATCATCACAGTTATCATAGTCCCTTTGGACTTCGCAGGAGTTATTGGAGGGTCAGAAGTAGGAGGAGGCCCGGGGACAATGAGTTTTATTGAAGCTCTGGGTGTATTTAAGAGTGAAAAAAAGAAAAAAGTGCCAAAACAGGTTCCAGAAATTGTCATTTTTAAAAAATGTGTTTAAATCAAAAATCACTTTCATCAGATGGAAAACACCATGCAACTTGTGCTCCATAAAAATATACTAATTCATAGTACAAGGAATGTGTCTTAAGAGACGTAAATTTTAGTTCTATAATAAAAACTTTTAATCATGTCGGTTTGTAACTATATATTCGCCTATTTAGAGTTATCATCAGAAGTTTGTAGGTGAAGCCCTCTTGATTCTCCTGAGAACAGGGTTGGTCCTGTTTAAGAAAAGGCTCAGGATAATACAAATTAATGTCAGAGTATTTTCCTAGCCCTATGTTTAATCAATGGCACATCCTTGTTTTTTAACTATTTAAATATATTATTATTTAACCATTTAAGTATTTGTCATTTCCTATTAAACTGTAGATGCCTCAGGAAAAAGACCTAAATACAAGAAAAATCAGCGAATACAATTTCCTTTGGCCTACGTGAGTCCTTTTGTGTCTCAAAAGTTTACAAACTGTTTGAACAGGCACTGGACCACAGAACAACTCTGACTGCCCAGGACATCTGGCAACCATATGATATTCTTGAACTTCGACTAAAGAAAGAAAATGTAAATTTGTGGAAGTAAAGCTCTGCTTCCTAAAACAACATTATAAATAAACTATACGCCAATAAAGTTAAAATTAAAAAAAAAAAAAGACCCTCTGCTTCAACTCACGTATTCTTGATGACTAAAAAAATAAAACTATAAAAAAAAAAAATCTCCCACCAGAAACCTAAATCACCTGGAAAGCATATAAATTCCGGCAAACTATGTTCAACAATTCACCATCACTAAAACTTGAGGCTCATTTTGTTTCATTTATTCTAAATCATTTATTCTTTTCACTAAGAGTCCAAGGCGCCCAGAACAGATGTGAGCAGCAAGTGTTGGGGTTTTCACATTTGGAGGTAGCTGGCAGAAGCGAGAGAAATCTTAAAGGAAAACTTGTGAGGAACTTAAGCAACAGCTCCTCGTTAGTATAGTGGTTAGTATCCCCGCCTGTCACGCGGGAGACCGGGGTTCAATTCCCCGACGGGGAGGTTGATATCTTTCTTTTACTAACCACACAAATATTTTGCATATTTCATCTGTCCGACACAGCTAACAAATACAACATGCTGTTATTTTCTGTAAATGCGTCTTTTCAAAATGATAACTTTTAAGCTCACCGTGAAGTAAAAGCCAACTCTGAGGGTAAACGCTTTATACCGTTTTCAGAAGGATTAAGAAGAAAACGTTTTGGAGGATCCCCGCTGCTCGCTTCCAGCAACAAGCTGACGCTAGCTGGCAACGCCTGCGCAGTAGCGCCCCGCCAAATTCCAAATGGAGGTCACGAACTCGGCCTACGGAAGCAGGAGAGGGGGCCGAGGCTCCGCCCTTAAGTGGGCGGGTTGGAACGGAAACCGCTCACAGAAGAGGAAGGACCGGTTTCCTTTGACCCCGGAGACTCAACAAAACGAGAAACTCCATTCTCCCGCGTCTTTTAATCCCATCCTAGCCTAGGTAGAGGGCTAGCTATGAGGAAAATCTTGCAGCTAAAGGAATCAGTCTCCGATGGAGAACCAAGGAGAGAATGGAAGGAAAGGCGAAGCACTCCCGGAAGAGACGCCATTTTATCGGAGTCCTAAGAAACTGCGCGAGCAACAGCCCAGCAGGACCTCGTGGCGCAACGGTAGCGCGTCTGACTCCAGATCAGAAGGCTGCGTGTTCGAATCACGTCGGGGTCATGGGCTTTTACTTTTAGGCCTTCTGGTTTCTATGAACTAGATGTATTCGAGTTAGATGTGTTCCCGCCATTTTCTGGAACTGCCTTTGATTGCAGGATTAAATCTTCCTTGTTCAAATGTTATCCCAATAATCCTCAGTCTGCAAAAAGACAAAGATCACCTTAGTCTGCCTAAAGACAAGGATCACCTTAGAGGTGGTCTTTTTTTCTATGGTTTGGCCTTGTGAATTCTATCATTGAACATGCATAATGCATAGAGATGTGGCTATTGCTGTTGTGCATTAGTGAGCATATTAGCTAATGGTGGTCCGTAACGGAACGTACAATACATAAACCATACAAGCTGTGTTTTCCAAAAACAATTTTAGACCTGTTTGCCTTTGGAAAGCAAGTCCAACAAGGTACAATTTCTAACAGTGTCTAATTGTTTACACCAACATGTGCACGTTGTACACTCTCACAGGTGAAACTGTGGCACACAGAATAGTGACTGAGCCAAGACCCTGAACCTGGTGATAACTCCAGATCCCACTCTTCACTATCTTAAAGGTTGAAACAAACTGTTGAAAAAACTTCCTAGAAGCCCTTGGCCCTAAGTGATACCAATGCATCTTTCATCTTTTCACCGGCTAATGCAAGTAGTAATAAATTAGGTACCACTTTCAACTATTAATCTCACAGCAGGAAGCAAAGCTTACTCATCCACCTTTGTAAGTTCCAGGACTCAGTACTGAATAGTGCCTGAAAGGCATGTGTCAAATATTTGTTGTACAAAAAGTGAATGGCAAGGCTATGAGAAATTATTAGTTTTGGGGTTTTTTTTAATTGGGTATATTCCATGCAAGTCCCTGAGTTTTCTTGCTCAGTATTTTGAACATGGCAAATACTAATTTCTTACATTTCAGCCTATGCTAGCATTGGACATCATGTTTTTGCGTGGGTCTTTGCTTTCTTTTTTTGTTTGGATTGAGATTAGAGCACACATTTCAACAGATGTTTATGGACCACTGATACTGCGATGAACACTGAGGAAAAGGTTACACCCAGTAAAAGTGGAATTTTTTTGAGCAGCGGAAAAAAGATACGTTAAGTAACCAAACACCGTAATATATTGGCGTGAGTGGCATGAACAGAGTGGTGTGATAGTGCTAAAATACAGACATTAGGTAGTTCAGAAAGTCTTCATAAAGGAAGATCTTGAAAAATAATGAAAGCTTCTCTGTGACTTTAAGGCATTTATTCATCCAGTGGACACAGGTGAATGCCTTCTAAGAGTCAAGCATGTCACTTAATACCCCTGACATCTGACGTCTTCCAACTATAAAAGTTGAGCTTCCTAGGGCTGCCACAGCAAAATATCGCAGACTGGGTAGTTTTGAAACAACAGAACTTTATTTTCTGACAGTTCGAAGGCTAGAAGCCCAAGATCAGAGTGGAAGCACAGCTGGTTTCTGCTGAAGCCCGTCCTGGGCTCACAGGTGGCCACTTTCCTGCTGTCTTCACATGGTCTGTCCTGTGTGCGCATACATCCCTAGTATCTCTGTGTCCAAGCTTCCTCTTACAGGACACCAATCAGATCGAACTAGGGCCCACTCATGGCTTCATTTTAACTCAATCACCTCCTAAAAGGCCTTACTTTGGAAATACAGCCACAGTTTGAAGTACCAAAGGATTAGGGCTTCAATATATGAATGAAATCAGGGTACACAATTCAGCCCATAATGGAAGTAATGGTCTTTTTTCCCCCTGGCAACTTTGCATATGCAGCATAATAAGACAGCTGGGACTACGAATGGTATCTCATTTGTATAAATCATACTATTGTGAGGCAGACAGAGCAGTTTGTATTACCTTGTAAATCATTTTATTTGGCAGTCCCAGCAAACTAATACAACTTCTTTGGAGAACTACTATTAATAGTTATTCATTATTGCTGGAGAGGAATGGAGAAGTAAAGCTGTAAAGATAAACAGGAGTCAGATCACCCAGGACATTTTGTGCCATTCTAATTAATTTAGATTTTATTCTGCAGGCAATGCAGAGCTATTATTTAAGAATGTGACAAGGTCAGCTATGGCTTTACAAAGAACGTGAAAAATGGCCTAGAACTGCTGTTGCTGGTCCAGCATCCTGGAACAAGTTAAAAATGTAAAATTTCAGGCCCCACTCCAGGCTCACAGACTCACAAAATGTGGGTGGGCCTACCAACCTGAGTTTTAACCAGGCCTTCCAGGTGATTCTGATGCAAGCTAAAATATGAGAATCACGGGCCTAAAGAGCAAGGCTGGACTGAGGCCCCACTTACCTCAAAGAGTTGTTAAGAGAGTCACATAAGATAAAATACACAGGGCTTCCTTGGTGGCTCAGTGGTAAAGAACCTGCCTCTTAAGGCAGAAGATGTGGGTTTGATCCCTGATCCAGGAAATGTCCTACCTGCCAAGGAGCAGTTAAGCCTGTGGCCACAACTACTGAGCCTTTTTGCCCTAGATCCAGGAAACCACAACTATTGAGCCCACATGCCACAGATGCTGATGCCCACACACCCTAGAACACGTGCTCTGCAACAAAGATGCCACCACAATGAAGCCTGTGCACTGCAACTAGAGAGTAGCCCAAGCAACAACAACCACCAGCACAGCCAAAAACAAATAAACAAAAATTTTAAATAAAAGTAAAATACATAGAAGTGTCTTCGATGTTGTAAAGTTCATTAATTTATATCGCTGTTTAGTTGTTAAGTCGTGTCCAACACTTTGGCAACCTCTTCATTAATATTTATATCGTTATTAACAGTTCTATAACTCTAAAATGGTCACTTCACAGGTTTTAGCTTCTTTCCCAACGCTGAACATTTGCACACTTTCACAATGGCCCGTTTTACTGACTTGATGTCACTGTGAAATAACCCAAAATCCAACACGTCATTTAAACTTCTACAATCATTATATAGGAATGATATAAGGAAAGAGGATCTGGAATACACAAATTGATGTTTGAATTCTCAAATTCTGACACTTAATGGCTCTGTGATTTTGTTCTATTTCACTAACAACTTTTCCAAGTCTATCATGTATTCTTACAAGTGGATTTATCCCCTAGTACAGAATTCTCTGAGCATTTGTTTCACCCATTTAATAAGATAGCTTTCGGTTTTGAATTGCTTTAATCAGTTACTTAGGACTGATGTACTCTGGAGGAACTGATAAAATGGAGCCTTTGGAAATGAAAACTAAAAAACAGGTTGTGAATTCTGATTAGACAAGTGATTTCCCAATTTCTCACACTAATTCAAAGTAGTTATGCTTATAAATCATAAGTAGTTATGATTACAAAGTAGAAAAGTAGTTACTATGAAATCATATGTGTTCACTGTAAAAATAGAGAAAAACATAAGGAAAATCATCTGTTCCCATCTCCTGGAGGAAACTACTATAAACATTCTGGTCTATACTCATTTAGTTCATTTAAATATACACATATCCATAGACATCTCAGATCTCAGTTCTTCATAAAACTGAGATCTTACTCTAATATGAGTCTCTTTTTCTTTTCGTATTTTACTTACAGCTGTGTTGTAAACATTCTCTCATATTCTTAGATAACTGTCACGTAGTATTTCATTATCTGCTCTGAGGTGACATCCTTAAATTCACAGCCAAGTCCTATACAAAACAGGATAATGAAAAATAAAAAAAAGAAAAAAAAAATAAAAAGAAAAATAAAAAAGCCACCTGTATGTTAATAACATTGAGAACTCTAGAAAGGGAAATGAAGTGTTTCCAATTGTTTTAGAAAAAAAATTTGTAAGAGTTTTCTGACAAAGTAATTGCATCATTTTAAGTCTGTGGCTTCACATAGAAATATCTTCCCATTGTTTCCCAAAGCTTTGGGTATCAGAGCTGTAACATTAAAAAAAAAAAAAAAAAAACCACTTTTTTAAACCTACTACCTGTTTTGACACAAAAGATAACTTAGAAATTTTTTATATTGGATGAATGTTACACAAAATAAAAAATGAGTCTCTTTTTTAAATTCAGAAATTTCACAGGAGATGACTGAAAGCATCAAGTCCTTGAGGAGAGAAGGCTGAGACCCACAGTACAACCGGTAGAATTAACTCTGATAGGACACCACTTCAATTTAAACAAGAAAGATCCAAGAGAAAATGTGTGCAGACTTGACTGTCTGAAATTGAGGCATTCCCCACAGATGGATTCTATGTTCTCAATTATGAGGCAAGGTCATCAGCTGAAAATGGGGACAGGTTGGAGGAAGGGATGTGACTAATTTGAGGAGAGAGGTGAAAGTATGAATGGTTAACCCAGAGAGTGTCAAGTGCTCCTGTGAGGTCGGAGGCCATTAATTAAAACCAGTTGGTGTATGATTTTTTTTTTCAGCAATCTTGGGTGCAAGCAATGAGAAAGTCTGTTCCAACAAGGTTCAGTCCAAGCAAGGCTCCAAGTTCCTCCAAGCAAGAAAGAGACGCTGGACTGAGAGAGTTGAAAATGTTTGCAAAAGAGTGATTGTAAGGACTGAAAAGGGAATCTAAATCAGTTGAGTTGGAATGATTAAATGATGGAAGAAGCAGGAAAAATAGATTTTTTTTAAGTATTCAGTTCAGTTCAGTCATTCAGTCATGTCCAACTCTTTGAGACCCCATGAACCACAACACGCCAGGCCTCCCTGTCCACCACCAACTCCAGAGCCCACCCAAACCCATGTCCATCGAGTCAGTGATGCCATCCAACCANAGTTTATACCAGGGGTTCCCAGCTCTGGTTACATACTGAATCACCTGCAGCGCTTTCAACACTTATGCCTCAGTCCCATTCCCAGAGGTTTTGATTTGACAGGAAGCCCAGGTACTGAGTTTTTAATATTTTAAAGCTCTCCAAGTGATTCTAATGTGCAGCCAAGTTTAAACTACTACATCAAAATCACCTGGAGGGTTTTTTATTTTCTATTTTTTGCTGTGACTTGAAACACTTTAATATGATAACTAGAATTATAACTGACAGCATTTTACCAGGACATATCAGATTTTCATGGATATCACATAATTCCTAGGATACGTATATTAGTAACTGAAGGAGTCTTTGGGCCTAGAAAAGGAAACAACAGTCTCAAAGGCCGTTGCTGAATCATCTAACTTCGGAGAGAACAAAACCGGACTTTAGGTGCCGCCCTGAGGCTCCAGGCCGGTTGTATCTATCTGGGACTCATCACCCCCCGCACAACTACAAATGCCATCTCTCTCTCTTTCTCTTCTGCCTCGGCCCGAACTATACCTTACAGTAACATCCAATGTATAATATAACTTGGGAAGATTCATCACTCCTTCTGACAGCACTTCCTGTGTAGTTAACATGTCAAATGAACTCAGGTTGTTTAATATCTCTCTTTGGGAGGTCTCAGGGGCCCTCTGAAACATCCCAAAGTTGCTGCTGCTGCTAAGTCGCTTCTGTCATATCTGACTCTGTGCGACCCCACAGATGGCAGCCCACCAGGCTCCCCTGTCCCTGGGATTCTCCAGGCAAGAACACTGGAGTGGGTTGCCATTTCCTTCTCCAATGCGTGCATACATGCTAGGTTGCTTCAGTCCTGTCCAACTCTGTGCGACCGTATGGACAACAGCCCACCAGGCTCTTCCATCCACTGGATTCTCTAGGCAAGAATACTGGAGTGGGTTGCTGTTTCCTTCTCCGAATTCACACAGAATGCAGACAAAAGCTATAGCAAGGAGCAACGGTCTAATTTTTGAGGGAGAGTGGCCAAGGGGCTGATAAGTTATAGCTGTAAAGATGATAAAGGGGTATTTGGCCAGATGATGTCAAATGTTTTTGAAAGAGGACAGAGGAGAAATAGTTTGTAACAAGTAATTAGGAACAAAGGGGCCCAACTCTGTAGCCCAACCTCTTGGCCTTAAGGTACACAGAGTATGAGAAAAATAAATAAATAACCTATTGATAGTACTTTACTTCAGAGCTCTACAGCAGAGTTAAAAGCAAAGTTACCTTAGTCACTAAAAACAGTAGTGCTGGGGATGTACCTGGATACATCAAGGTAATTCCAAGTCTGAATTTGATAACTCACAGTTTTGGGGATGATGTAGAAAGGAAATCTCACTGTCTTCACATCTTACATCAACCACATCTCTTAAGAAATGTAGAATATGCAAGTAACCTCCTGTTGATAGTACCCAGGGATAAGAAAAGGAGAGATAATTAATGAAAGGGAATGAAAATTATGTTTCGCTCAGAGAACATTGATTTCAGGTTCCTAGAATGCAGTTCTTTCTGAATTATATCTCTAATGTTGGCCTACAGGGTATAGATGGAGAAGGAAATGGCAACCCATTGCAGTATGCTTGCCTGGAGAATTTCAGGGCCAGAGGAGCCTGGTGGACCCCAGTCCATGGGGTTGCAAGGAGTCAGGCACAACTGAATGACTAACACAACATAGGGTAAAGTACTGTGTCTATTTAAAAGAACTCTCAGGTTCGATGCATGAGACAGGGTGCTCAGGGCTGGTGCACTGGGATGTCCCTGGGGGATGGGATGGGGAGGGAGGTGGGAGGGGGGGTTCAGGATGGGGAACACATGTGCATCTGTGGCTGATTCATGTCAATGTTTGGCAAAAACTACTACAATATTGTAATTAGCCTCCAATTAAAATAAAGAAATTTTTTAAGAAAAGAACTTTCAGAAGACATACAGATGGCCAACATACACATGAAAAAGTGTTCAGTATCACTAATCACGGGCTTCTCAGGTGGCACGGTGGTAAAGCATCCTCCTGCCAATACAGGAGCTGAAAGAGATGCAGGTTTGGTCCCTGAGTCGGGAAGATACCCTGGACTAGGAAATGGCAACCTACTCCAGTATTCTTACCTGGAAAATTCCACGGACAGAGGAGTCTGGTGGGCTACAGTCCATGGGGTCACAAAAGAGTCAGTTGTAACTTACCACATACACATCACTAACCATTAGAGAAATACAAATGAAAACCACAGTGAGATAACACCTCAGTTCAGTTCAGTTAAGTCGCTCAGTCATGTCCGACTCTTTGTGACCCCATGAACCGCAACATGCCAGGCCTCCCTGTCCACCACCAACTCCCAGAGCCCACCCAAACCCATGTCCATCAAGTCAGTGATGCCATCCAACCATCTCATCCTCTGTCCTCCCCTTCTCCTCCTCCCCTCAATCTTTCCCAGCATCAGGGTCTTTTCCAATGAGTCAGCTCTTCACATCAGGTGGCCAAAGTATTGGAGCTCCAGCTTCAACATCAGTCCTTCCAATGAACACCCAGGACTGATCTCCTTGCAGTCCAGGGGACTCTCAAGAGTCTTCTCCAACACCACAGTTCAAAAGCATCAATTCTTCTGTGCTCAGCTTTCTTTATAGTCCAACTCTCACATCC